CCCCCCAGCGCTATTATGATATTACGACTTTGAGAAAAATTCCACTCTAGTCTTGTGTTTGATGAAATATGTCTTGGCTTTTCCTTTCAGATCATACCTCAAAAAGTTTGCTTCAGACATTATGTGTTCCGGCTTTGTGGACCTGGTGGAGAATATCATGGTGAGTAATGGGGATAATAATAATGATAATAGTGAAAACAATAATAGTGATAGTGATAACGATAATAGTAATAGTGATTACAATAATAGTAATAGTGATAACGATAATAGTAATAGTGATTACAATAATAGTAATAGTGATAACGATAATAGTAATAGTAAAGTAATGGTGGTTACAATAATAGTAATTAGTGGTTACACTAATAGAAATAGTGATATCAATAATTATATAGTGATAACAACAATAGAAATAATGATAACAATAATAGAAATAGTGATAACAAAAACAATAATAGTAATAGTGATATTAATAATAGCAATAATGATAACATTGATAATGATAGCGATAACAATAGTAGTAATAGTAATAATTAGCATATGAATAAAAATGGGAATGATAATAAAACTGAAATTAATAATTGCTACAACAGTAGTGATAGTAATGATGTCCTTGGGAAAGGCACTTTACACGAAATTCCCACTTGGCTCGGTCCTTTCAGAGATGGACGTTACACTTCCGCCTCTTAAATAACCTAATATTGTTGTTGACAGGGGCATTGAACCTGTACCATTTGGCCATTTCACATAGTTTCCTGAATGCAAAAAAAAAAAAAAAAGAAAGGTGTGTGGGTGGTTGGCGGGTGCTCTGATGTGGTTTGCTTCTACTTTCATATCAAACATCTGTCGTATTTATCTCCCCTCCTTCTTCTTTTGTGTTTGTTACTCCCTTGTAACACCTCTAATCTTCCGCTCTTATATGACCTTAATTGTGTTGCAAATGCCGTAAGACTCTGACTAAAACTAAGATAACAAAGCTGTAGACTGGACTAATGTGTCTCACTCCTCGCGGATGTTTCAGAAAGCCCTGCTGACCAAGTACGACAGTGTGCTTGACCACTCCTTCCTCATGTGGACCGTCGGGTTCTTCCTCAGCTTTGCTCACCAGCAGGACCTCGACTTTTGCCACTTCAAGTAAGTGTTTTGCTCACCGTTGTTGTGCACATGCTTGTGTCTTTGTTATTTAAACTTTTTGTCTCTGAGGTTTTGGTGGTGGTGGTGGGGGAGGGGAGGGGAGGGGGGGTGTTCTTAAACCCCTGACACCAGGGCCCTTTTTTTGGTACTAAATCCAAGTAGAAGTTGTTTCAGAATGCTCTCAGCCAGGTCTGATGGGTTAATAGTGTAGATTGTGAAACGCATAGAACTCGCTGTTGAGAGGGGAATTGTGCAATACAAATGCTATCTATCATTTTTATTAAAAGACTGGCTGACAACTGAGGAGTAAATATGAGAGAGGTAACGAAACTTTTGCTGATGTTTGAGTCGAAAAGTGATTACTAGACCAAAAAGTAATGCAGGTGTTCCGACGATGGTCTCCTCAGGAAAGTCCTGAACCTTGACCTCTTTGGCTTCCTGGTGTACGAGGGCGTGCTGTGCTGCGAGGCGCTGCAGGTCAAGCACAAACTTAGTCAGGACTGCTCCGTGGAGAAACACAGGTACAGTCGTTTGTTCTGATCTCCTCCACCGTTTGGCTGTCTGTCACTTCTGCTCCCCTCCTCCTCCTCCTGTCTATGTGTCTGTGAGTGGTGACATGTGGTGGGTGTCAGGTCGATGCTGGTCGTCCAGTGCTGTCCCCGACTCCCCCCTCCACCCCCGACAGTCGCTGCGAGAACTACCTGGCAACTACTACCTGGCATCACTAGGGTGGTGGGTGTCGGCTGGTGCGGAAACTCCCAAGCTAGCAGATGCAGACATGTTTGAACTGAAACTTGCGACAAATTCTTGGCTTTTTGAGAGGAGGCAAGATTGCTGTTTGAACTCTTTTTTTAAAATTCTTAATTATTTTTCTTTTCAATAAGTAAAAAAAACTGAACTTTTATTGTAAAAAGGAAATTGAAAAACATCAATAATGATGTTGAGCTAAATCGGCACAAAAAGACCTTTGTTGGAAAGTTTTGCTGAGAAGCTGTGTGTGCCCCAAGCCCCCTGGCCACGTTCCGTACCGTCCACCCCCTCGCTAGTGATGTCACGCCACCAACTAACACCGTGCCGCGTCTGAAGATTTTACAGACTTCCCAGACACACTTGAGAAATAACGCTCAAACTGGACACAGATGCTGCAGACCCTCATAACCTCAGATGTAATGTGCTACACATAAGACAAGGACTCTTTAAGATATACAGCGTGGAGTACACTTAAACCAAAAATGCGGCAAAGCGGAAGAAATTCTGGTGTTCCCGTAGATTTTGGTTTAAGGGGAGTCCACTTGAGTATTGATGTAAGTGTGGAAAGAAAGACTTTTTTTTGTTGATTTGATGGAATTGAAATGTGAAATGATAACAACTTTTTGGTCTGGAAGGAGTCTGCAAGGTTTTCACGTTGCACCAAGTCTCTGATCTGATTTGTGGACAGTGGCGTTGTTTTTTTGGTTTTGTTTTGACTTGTTCTTGTGATTGGTGGTGTGCTCTCATAACACAAGGTGAGGGGGGGGGGTGGATTGTGGGTCTGTTCTCATGAAGCTTCTTCTCTCTGACAATTTTGGGTGGCACAGATGAGAAGGGACATGGGTAGAAATTAGGATTTTAAATTTTGTTAAACCTTTGATACTAACAAGGGGAAAATGTTGTGACCTGCTAATGCCGCGAGTGAGGGCAGGGAAGATTTTGGGGACGCCCAGCAGTTTTTGAACTGAGGGATGTCTGTACTTGAGCTACTGTAGTTGAGCTTTTGCTTCAAGGGTGATTAAGATAGTACTTCGATGAGGGAGTTTTGGTCTTTTTTTTTTTCAAATCTCATTCATTTAACGATTGCAGTTTTGATTGAAATATTGTCTTGTTTGAAGGTATCACAAATTGTAAGAGGTGCTAGTAACGAGAATGAGGTCATGTATGAGGTCAAGATGATGCTCACATTGTTTGGATTCTAAAAAAGGGGATCATATGGGTGCTAATTGTTTGAAGAAAACCAGGCAGTTACTGTTAGTTTGTGCCTGAGGTTAAGATCAAACCCTCACCTTTTGTTCTTCTCTCTCGTCGTCTTCCACGACATTTTGTACTGTATTGTCGCTGTCCCCGAGAAAAATGAGTAACTCTGATTCGTTGGTCAGCTATTCACATGTAAAAAGTCTACAATTTTAATATTTTGAACATTTTACTTATTGCAGTTTTGTACTCTATGGTAGCAGTTGCATGTTTTCAAGAGATGATTTGTTAAAATTCAAATTCTGAACATTGCTCAAAGCTATGAGAGAGACATATTGTAGGCATAATTGTAGCCTGAAAAGTTGTAATTTCCTAGGCTTGCAACATGTGAAGAGCTTGCTGATGAGTTGTTGTTTGAATCCTTGAGGACAGCAGGGTCCCAGAGTTGTTCATTGTTAGTGCGACGGCGACAATGTTTTTGTTTTCTTTCGTACAATGATTTGAGAATAATAATCATCCACTTGCCACTCTCTTCCTGTGTTTTTTTCTCAGAATGTTTCCTTTTCATCATCTTGTAATAGATATTTGTAATAGATAAGTTCCTTCGTCCTAGAATTCATCTTTTTTTTCTTTTGTATTGGAGACTCATTTTTTATAATTTTCATCAGCTTTTTGGGGACACGTTGATCTATTTGTGGATCTGTGGAATAGATTGCGACGTATCATGACTGTACACTCTGCACTTTTTGCTCAGTTGTCTAAATAAGTCCTGGTGGAGAGCTGTGCTTTTTCTAATTCTGCTCACGTACTGAATACCGCTACCTTCTTTCTCTCAACAGTGTTCTGTAATACTGGGAAATGTTAGATCGTCATTAGAAAATTGAATACAGAAATTGTACACACTCAAACCTAATTTGATGATTTTTGTGATCTTTTGTGGTGTAAACATTTTACCAGAACCACGTAAAGCTTTACATTTCTACTCTCATATTTCTCCTCGTTTATTCTATGGACTTTTTTTTCTAAATTCATTGAGGGCACGCGCTCTCGTTGTTTGACAAAGTTTTAAGTCACACTACACTATTTTGGGGTGTTTTTACAAAAGCGTAACGTTTTTCATCGCAGATTTTACTATTCTGTTGTTTTTTTAATCTGAAGTTTTCAGAGGTGAGATGGGATGTGTCTTACTCAGTAAGCAGCTGTCTGTATGTTTGGTTTGGTATTTAGGTCAACTGAGCAGGTGTGGTTGTGTTGTTGTAAGCTGTGAGGCATCTCATCTCCAGGAGTTCCTTCAAAGGAGACCATTTGTCCCCACCCAAAGTTTGAAACTGTCCTTTTTTTTTCATGACAGTTTCCCTAAAGTTTGAAACTTGTTGATTTTATCTATCAAAAAAAGAGGAAAACTGTAATGCGAAATGAAAGTGAAGATTGAAAAATTCACGTGGCCCATTCCAATGTTGTAGGTATTTGTCTTTTGTTTGTTGGAAACAGTGACACAGTTGGTTGAAACTCTGGTCGGTCCAGTGAATGCTAAAGAAATATTTGTTTGGAATGTATGCATGTGCTCCAGTACCTGTTAAAACAAAGTACCAGAAAAATTATTTTTAAAAATGGATTTATTTGTTTTTTCCCCCCTTTTACCAATGCGATGCTGATAGATACTGTCAGGACAGTCCCCTAATAACATTGGGTGATGAGGACTCACAAACTTCTCTCCTTCGCTGCTCATGTCTCGCTGTTCGTGTCTCGCTGTTTGTGTCTCGCTTGTTTGTTCCTCCTCATCGCCGCCACCGCCCGGTCAAAAGACACGAGACGAGAAACCCACCCATCAGACCACCTCAGCCATGGTGGAAACCATTTTTCTACCATTTTTTTAAAACATGTTATTGCGGGACTGCCTGATCAATCCGTCATTTTTCTCTTCCTCCCCCCTGTGTCCATCATCCCCTCTTCCTCCTCATCCATTGCGTCTCTTTAGTTCTTTACTCACCATCATACAGAAACAAACAAAAAAAACAAACGAAAAAAAGACCTCCTTAAAAACAAACCCAGTTGTGAGGCATCGTGGGGAAATCTGGCGCTCGTCAATATAATGAAATCCAAGAAATCAGCATTTTTTTGTCAGTTGAGCAATTTTTTTTATTATTTCCTTTTTTTGGCTGAGCACCTTTTATGTCCATTTCAAAACAGATTTTTTAATGGATTTTACTGAAAAACATTGATTAAAGGCACAAAAATGTAAAAATTACAAGGGCTTCCAGGCTACGAAATTGGCGGCCATTTTCTCACAAATTTTAACTCTGAAACCAGGCGTTCCCGACCTCCTTCAATCTAAAATCTTTCGACTTCTATTCAACAGAGATGGATATTTTTTCACCAAAAGGAATTCAAACGAACAGGCTTAACCTGATACCAATAACCCTATAATAATGCCCAAATATTGACGAGCGCCTGATTCCACCACGTCGTGACACAATTATTATTTTTTTTTGTCAATCCCGTTTCCCCCTTCATCAATGATGCCCACTTTGTGCCCCGCCCACCTGAACAGGCAGTTCTGTCTACAGGAGCACAGGTTCCCCTAGTTGTGATTTATTCCAAGGTTGGGGAAAGGTTAAATCACTAATACACTGACAAGATCTTTCACTGTCTATGGCCGGGTACCCATTCCCACCTGGGCAAAGTGAGGAAAATTCGTGTAAAGTCGAAGACGTTCCCCAAGGACACATAGTCAGGCCCGTGGTTCGAACCCAGAAACCCGCAACCTCACAATTACGAGTCCGGTAGCCTAACCACTAGACCACGGACACCAGCAAGTGACACCTGAACCTCCAGGCTTTCAGTGAACTTCCACAGAGACACGGACTCTAGACCTACAAATGGCAATAACGAGATGTGTTGGTTTCATGACCATAAACTGTGCTAGCACATGCTCATATGGTACCCCTCACTCTTAGCATAAACTGTGCAAGCACATGCTCATATGGTACCCCTCACTCTTAGCATAAACTGTGCAAGCACACACACACACACACACACGCACACACGTACACACATCTGGTTTGTGACTCCTCATCCAAATGCCCACAGGACTTGTCTGGAATTATGTCAGAAATTCAAATTTCCTTCGGACCAAAACTGTTTTTTATTGGAATGGGCCAGTTCACGAGTGTGTGGTCGAACCAGAATCTTTGTGTTTCTGCAAATTTTGGAAACAACCAGTCTCAACAGCGAGATAATTTGTTTACGTAATTTGCTTACATGGCTTTTTGGCATCAGTCAACCAACTGCCATCATTGAAACTGAGTAGGACAAAATCAAGACCAGCATTGAGGAAATAGGAATACATTTCAAACGCTCAGGAAAAGTTTGAGAATGTCTGGCAGGGATTTCTCTGTTCTGCCGTCTATTTGTGATTTTCACTTTTACCTCCCCTCCCCAAGAAAAGATTAGGGGCAGCCTTTGGAAAGAAATTCTTTTGTAAAACGTAACTTTCTGTTTGGCTCTGAAATGAAAACAGAATTGAAAACAACACCAAAATTCTTGAGGAATGACTTTTCAAGAGTTTATGGAATATTTGGTAGTTTGCTAGTCTGCTGAACCACTTGAAGATATAAAATGCTTTTTTCAAACTGGAAACCACATCCCCATCTTTGGGGGCCTGTTTATGTCAACAGAATGTTTTTGGGGGGGTATTTTTGGGGTGTTTTTATTTAGAAATTTAAAAATATATTTTGATCACTGTTGCTTTTATGCCCCCCTCCTTTCCAAAATAATACTAACCACGGCGTTTTCGCCGCACTGAAGTTCCAGCTCTTTCAGCCTGCATCGTCTTCTTCAAGGGGGAAACTTGCCAGAAAGGCTCTCTCTTAGTTGCCCATGTCTTCTATTCTGCTCTTCTGGAAATGGTAAAATGTCTGCCGGGGAACCCTCCCTCGACGGCTCAGTCAATCCGTCGGTGGCCCGGTCAGTTTGGCGCGTAAGGTTCTGTTGCCAGTGACATATGTTGGTTTTCCAACCTGGCAGGTAGGTAGAATCCCACCCTCGAGCTCCTGGCGATGAGGTGACTCCTTAAATTTTGCAAGTTTTTTGTTTTTTAAACAAGGAAAGTTTGAAAAAAAAATTGAATGTTTGTTATAATAAAGAAATGCTTTGATCCTTTCTTTCGTCTTGACTGCCTTTTTTTCTGATCTGTCTACTTCAGTTGTTGCTGCTGTGCTTTTTGAACATCTTTTCTTACGAGATAACGCCTTGACTTGATCTCATATTATGTGTGTCATAATGTGTTGACTATCTCATATGTGTGTCATAATGTGTTGACTTTATCTCATATGTGTGTCATAATGTGTTGACTTTATCTCATATGTGTGTCATAATGTGTTGACTTTATCTCATATGTGTCATAATGTGTTGACTTGATCTCATAATATATGTGTCATAATGTGTTGACTTGATCTCATATGTGTGTCATAATGTGTTGACTTGATCTCATATGTGTGTCATAATGTGTTGACTTGATCTCATAATATGTGTGTGATAAATGATAAATGAGATTTCTATTTCTCTATATTTTGTGATGTCATTTCATGCTGTGTGTGTGTGTGGTGTTTGGTGTGTTATGAAAATTTGTGTCTTCTGGTTTGGTGTGTTGAATGGAGGAGCACACGTGTACATGTGTCCCAAGCTCTGGTGTCGTCGTTGCCTGTGGCGTGTCTGTCTGCGGTATCATTCTTCATTTTTATCGTACACTTTTTGATTGTTGTACTACCTCAACTAACTTTTGCGAGATAACCTTTTTTTTTGTAGCCGACTTATTTACATGTTGTAAGTATTGCAAGGGTTGGATGTATTTCTTGTGGGTGGTTGGCGGATGCTCTGGTGTGGTTTGCTCTTTCTTTCCTCTCCAACATCTATCGTCCTTCTCGCTCCTCCTCCTTTTTTATGTTTGTTACTCTCTTGTAGCACCTCTAATCTTCGGCACTTATATGACCTTATTGTGTTGCAAGTGCTGTAAAACTCTAACTAAAACTAAACTGAGATATTTTTAATCGATATTTTCTCCCTAGTCTTAGGCTTCTCACTTCTCATTTCATAATTCATCTGTGGTCTAAGGGGGGTCAGCTGTTCGCTACTGCAGGGAAATGGGACAAGGATCCCAAGAGAAAAACTAATGACTATTGTCTAGTTTTGGACTATTCCTGGAATAATAACGCTTAATGTGTTCCTTTCTTCTCTCTACTCAAACTGTTTGGCCTTGTAGCTAACTTATGACTAATACTCTCAAAGTTTGTAATCATTTCCCATCCCCCTTCTTCTTTCTCTCTCCCTCTCCTGGTTCTCTCTCTTTGTATTTCTTTCTCCCTCTCTCTCTCCCTGTCTTTCCCCTTCTGTCTTTGTCGCTCTGTTTGCCTATCTGTGTGTCTCTCATTCACTCACTCTCTCTCCCTCTTTTTCCTTTTGTCTAGTCTTTTCTCTCTCTCTCTCTCTCTCTCTCTCTGTCTCTCTCTCTCTCTCTCTCTCTCTCTCTCTCTCTCTCTC